GAAAATGACCTTAAGTAAGGTTGTAACATGAAATAATCCAGACCAAATGAAGAAAGAATTTTAGCTCTTACGTTAAGATACTTTCTATTGATATATGGTTCTGTCTGATAGACTAATAATGTTCCCCTTTTTTCCTTATGATTATTATTATTATTGTTTTTAATTTAAATATCTGTGAGTATTCGGTCGACTAATATTCCCCATGTTTGGAATTTTTTTTTTTATGTATTATCTCCCACTTTCATGAATCTGAAGAGAAACCAGCAGCAGCCTGTAAGTATCCTATTTATTCAATTAGTTTCTTTACTATTTTTAAGTATCATCAAATTAGTTGTTCTCGAAATTCTTCCTACTTACTCGTGACATCTGTATTCCTTCCTAAATGGGCCTTTCTTATTTGTACATTAGCTTTTTGGTCACATCCCAATCATGATATCTTGCTGTAAAAATTGATTTTCCCTTGTTGCATCTCAGTCTGTTATGAAGCCCAGCCTCTTGAGAAATGTGAATGTGATCTGGAAATGTAAATCTTTAGTTGCCTATTGCATAGATCTCAATGCATTTCACAATCAGATTTGGCACTAACTATGAAACTGAAAGAAAAATGAAAATTCCGATGGGCCAAAGTTTGAGCCATAGGTCAATAGATAATGCAACTTTATAGATCATAAAGAAAAAAATATTTCATCTTCTAAGTTATATTGAGTTGAATGAAGGTAGGAGCTCTCACCTTAACCTTTTCTAGCAAAGTGAAAAAATAAATAAATAATCAAATGAGTATCATCAACCGTGAACCCCATAACACTTGGAAAGGAAGTGACTTCCCATGAGTAGTGGCACTTGTTTCCTTGATCTTACGGCAACTAATGTCATTTTATTCTATATATATATACAGTGCATTTGTTTTTGAACTCCAGTTAAAAAGCAGCTAAAATGGCTTGGGGCTTTTATCAATTCTCAAAGTTGAAAATGTCAAAAAGTTAATTTTCCTAATTGGCAATATGTTGGTAATGCAGCAAGAAGCGAGTTGGAATATGCACTTTCAAACTACAACTCTATAAGTGCTAATTTTCTTAGTAAACCATTATGGGCTGTGGCAGAAAATTATCGATTTGAACCAGCCTTTGTTGAGGTATTTGTTTGTAGGGTTCTTTCTTTCGTTCTTTCTTTTTTCCTTTTTTTTTTTCCCCTTTTCATTTACGTATTTCCCGTACTTTGGCAATATGCTCGTTATTGCTTTGCAGAGTAAAAACTTAATTGCTGACATTGGGGATATGATGAGCGTCCAAGTGATTGTTGAAGGATCAATGAACAGTTCAAACCCCTATTTCTCAAGCTCTTGGCGGCGTGACTTCACTGTAAGTGTTTTTCTCATAAACCATCTCAACACAATTCTTAGTTATTCTACATGTCGTTTCCCTTTTCCCCATCAAATCATGATTGTCATGTCTAACATTCTTCCATGGGAGAATATGGTACCCCGTATGATACGCATTGGAGTGCCAAATAACAACTCTACTTTTATTGTATGGAAGCTGGGATAAATATTGTTCTGGTCTACATCATGTATTTCCTTGATGTGTTTATCTATTTTATTCCTTTTTTTTTTTTATCACACTAGCATATTCTTATCTTCCATTGACAACATATGTCTTTACTTGTGCCAGGGGGGTTTCATTCTGGATATGGGTGTCCACTTCATTGCTGGATTAAGGATGGTAACGCTTTTGAAACCTTCTTTCACTTCGAAAAAGCATTTGTGAGCTCCATCCTAATGGCTATAGCTTGTTTTTTTTACGAATTCTTAAAGGTCATTGAGCAAACATTACTTTTCTTTTTCAAGGAAATCAAACGTTACTATTACTGCTCCGCTTCATACTCAAAATTGACAAAGCCTATAAATCAGTACACGTCTGTCAATAAGATGACGTGGTGATGAACATTGTATAGCCTGACTATGGGAAAGGCTCTGATCTGTGGTAAAATAATCGCCTAGTCATGCACGACCCTTTTACTTCATTCCTGGCGGCATCACCCTTAATATATAATACCATTTTCCTAGGAAATAATGGTGAACAGATTTTTAGTTTGGAAAATTTTAGTTTCTTATATTTGTCAACAGCTTGTTGGATGTGAGGTGGTCTCGGTGTCAGCAACGACCTCCTACGTGGACAAGTCCTTACCTCCGCCTGATAACATATCCTCGCTCTTGTAAGTTTTGTTCGCCTAGTGCTAATAAATGAGTCCCCAACAAATTTGAAATCCTAAAAATGAAGAATGATGACATTTTCCCTCCTCCAGCCAACTGGAGAATGGATGTTCAGGTGTTTTTGTAATGGTAGTCTCCTCAAGATCACCCAGGGTATGCAGCTATGCAAGAAGTGGAAATTCTTTCTTAATCACTAAAAACATTCATTGGTTTACCGAATGATTTTTAATTTCTGCAGATATTCTGGCGAGTTGTGGGGTTAAAGGGAACGCTGCAGATCGAGCGTGGTAACCAGGATGGAAAACATGGCTATCTGGTACATTGTTTAATCAAACGTCAACCTAGTTTACTTTTTCCAAAAATCTTCAGCTTAGTTTTGGGCACTGGTTCTGAATATCAAAGCTTCAAACCCTCATTTGTCCTAGCGATTCACTAACTTCCATGGTCTTTTTCACCTATGACCCATTTCGTTTTTTGATATCTTTGAGTTGATGTTCAGGTTTCCCTCTCTGATGCTAATGGACAGAATAAATGCTCCTTCTATCCATTCAGTGGAGTTACCGAAGAGCTAAAAACTTTTATTGATGCTATTTCTGCAAAGGTAGCATCAAGACAATCACTACACTAAGTGGTGTTTACTGTTTAGCATGGCTTTTTAAGTGCTTAAAGATGATTAGAAGTTTTACTTTGATTAGTTATCTTATATCTTTTAACTAATTAATTTTTTTATAATTAAAAATAGTCTGAAAAATTCTATTTTTCTTCGAAAATTGCTTATAAAAGATATGTCAAACATACATTACTAAGTTTATTTTGTGATAGTAAAATATAAAATGCAGTGATTCTATTTCTGGTATTATTGCAGGGAAGTGATTATAAAGCTGATGCTCGTATATCTTTTGTGGAGGGTGCTAGGGATGTTGCAGTCCTAGACGCAATGCTTGAATCGGGAGCAAAGCTTGGGGCTCCTGTTCAAGTGAAAAGATTTTAACTTGAGCACACCTAATTAACATGGTGTTTTTCAACAGAATTAGGTACCATTAATGCAGTTTAAATAAAAAATAGCATGTGTTTGAGTGATATGCATTCAAGAAATACTTGAACTACACTTTTCATATTTACTTGCCTCCATTCTTCTGACATTTTGATTGTAATAAAGATGAAATTTGGTCTACAATTCCTTCAACTTTGACTGAATTTATTGCTTGTGCCATTATCTCTCGGCATTTACAGGACACTAGCTTCTTGAGAAGCACATTCGAATACTTCAGAAACCGCCATTAAAAGCCAGTGATTCCACACAAACCCATCAAAACCAAACATAGTTAGATTGAAATTAGATTTCAATTTTGTTACTTTTGAAATTACACCGAAACATGCCTTTAAGAATTTTAAATCAAACACAATCTTCATGCTATAAATTTTGATTTTAACCATTTCAAAATCATGTTCACTACAAACAACATCCCAATCTCAACTAAATATGGAAACGTATTATCATATTCTAGTGTTGATTCTCTTGGGAATAAGAGGGTTGGGTGAAGTAATTCTGGGACTAAACTTTTACTCAAAACCAATCCAACCAACCACACCTAACACACATTGTGTCTAATTATTTGCTCAACCACCCAACAATCTGAAATAGCTAACACTATCCTTGCCTTCTTGGTTTCCCTATCAAACACTTAAACTCACAATTGACTGGTCTTTCAATGCAAGAGGTTGTCCGTTGTTTTCCCAGCTGGCCTTTGCCTTATCAAGACTTCTTTATTTCGGATATCATTGTCCCCTTCGGAGCTTAGCGAGATATAATTCAACTTCTTCCCATTTGGAGAGGGTGCTTGAACGGACAACATCAGACAACCCTCTTGCACTCGTCCAAAAACCAACCACAGCTTTCCACACGTGCGCTATGCTATTTGTCTGCACCTGCTATGGTCATAGAAAAAAAGTTGTTATCTTGTTGGTTTTTATCTGTGCCCTTTTCAGAGATTCAGTCTTCATGTTCAGATTTCGGCCCCACATTCTCCCAAAACCCACTTTCTAATTCAGTTCACTCTTTTAGGACCTTTCATTTCAACCCTTCAGCTCCATTTCATGTACTAAGCTCTCTGTTCAACAGTGCTTTGAGAAAGGTCAATTCTTTTTTGTTCTTTTTCCTTTAACAAACCCATCCTTTCTCCTTGAAGTTGCGTAGTTTTATCTACATATTATTTTATCAGGTTGGTTGGAGTGGTTATAGCTAATGTTATTTTATGAGGTCTTGTTTTCTTCTAGTTCTGGCTATTATCAAGCATTTAAACAAACGAGCTGTCTTTCCTTGAACTTGGAGGTTACTTCTTGTCTTAAATCCATTACTTGTAAAATGGAATCTGTTTATTTGCCTAGGAGTAGATTGCAGCGCATTATGATTCTCGTTTAGCATGAGAAATGGCTCTGTTTTCTGTTCTTGGTTGCCGAGAAAGTGCTTGCAATAAGAAGGGTAAATGTGAAGTAAACAAATATGCAAGTGTACGTTAAACTGGGAATTGAACAAATTCCATGAGAATCGAGTTTCATGTGGATTTTCCATCTTTTATTAACTGAACAAGTGAGTTCATCAAAAGAGTGAAACTATGGTGATCTCTTTTTTCATCTGCAGGTGCTTTTGCAACAGAGTTGGAAGGACTCACAGAAGCTATCTGAGTGTTCCAGAATTTCATCCCTGTCTATGTTTTCTTTGCTTCTAGTTGCTCTATTACAAATCTCGCCTAATAATTCTTGATAAACTTGCATTGAGATTTGTAGAATTTGAGTTGAGGAAGTTGAAGGCTATACTTATTCTGAGTGTATAAAAGTTTATTGCTTTTTGATATCAGGCAGAGTAGAAAGATGCAGAAGCCTCTTCAACCTCATGATTTTTCTCTTAAGGAGACCTATCCTAAAATAGGCGCGGTGTCACTAATGGGAGACAAGCTGTCTAATACGTATGACCTTGTGGAGCAAATGCAATACCTTTATGTTTATGTGGTGAAAGCTAAAGATTTACATGGAAAAGAAGTCACTGGTAGCTGTGATCCTTATGTGGAAGTGAAACTTGGAAATTATAAGGGAACAACAAAACACTTTGAGAAGAAGTCCAATCCTGAGTGGAAACAAGTTTTTGCTTTCTCAAGAGAACGAATCCAAGCGTCTCTTTTGGAAGTGGTCGTGAAAGACAAGGCTTATGTAATAGATGATTTCATGGGGCGGGCTATTTTCGATCTCAACGATGCTCCAAAACGTGTCCCTCCTGACAGTCCGCTGGCACCGCAATGGTATAGGCTGGAGGATCGAAAGGGGGATAAAGTCAAAGGAGAGCTTATGTTGGCTGTGTGGATGGGAACTCAAGCAGATGAAGCATTTCCTGATGCCTGGCATTCAGATGCTGCAACTGTGGGATCTGAAGCCATTGCTAGCATCAGATCAAAGGTTTATCTTTCTCCCAAACTTTGGTATGTAAGAGTAAATATCATTGAAGCTCAGGATCTAGTACTGAGTGATAAAAGTAGGTATCCAGAAGTTTTTGTGAAGGTTATTATTGGGGCTCAAGCTATAAGAACCAGGATATCTCAAAGCAAGACTATAAACCCAATGTGGAATGAGGACTTACTGTTTGTGGCTGCTGAGCCATTTGAGGAGCCATTGCTTCTGACAGTAGAAGACAAGGTGGCATCAAACAAAGACGAAATTCTAGGGAGGTGTTTGATTCCCCTGCAAAATGTGCAGAGGCGATTAGATCATAAACCTGTTAGCACTAGATGGTATAATCTTGAGAAACATATTATTGCAGATGGTGAACAGAAAAAAGAAGTTAAGTTTGCCAGTAGGATTCATCTTAGGATTTGTTTGGATGGTGGGTATCATGTGTTGGATGAGTCAACCCACTACAGTAGTGATCTTAGGCCTACTGCAAAACAGTTGTGGAAATCTAGTATTGGGATTTTTGAGTTGGGGATTCTTAGTGCTCAAGGGCTCATACCAATGAAGATGAAAGATAGCAGAGGGACGACTGATTCCTATTGCGTGGCAAAATACGGACAGAAGTGGGTTCGAACGAGGACTATTGTAGACAGTTTCACTCCGAAGTGGAACGAACAGTACACTTGGGAGGTTTTTGATCCCTGCACTGTTATTACTATTGGGGTGTTTGATAATGGTTATATAGGTGGGGGAAGCAGCGTAAAAGATTCAAGGATTGGAAAAGTTCGGATTCGGCTATCGACCCTTGAAACTGAGAGGGTCTACACTCATTCATATCCTCTTCTGGTCCTTCATTCTTCAGGAGTGAAGAAAATGGGTGAAGTGCAGTTGGCTGTAAGGTTTAGTTGTTCATCTTTGATTAACATGCTGCATATGTACTCCAGCCCATTGTTGCCAAAAATGCATTACATTCACCCATTATCAGTAATTCAGCTTGATAGCTTAAGGCGCCAGGCTATGCAAATTGTGTCGATGAGACTAGGCCGTGCCGAGCCTGCGTTGAGGAAAGAGGTCGTCGAGTATATGTTGGATGTGGATTCACATATGTGGAGCATGAGGAGAAGCAAAGCCAATTTCTTCAGAATAATGGGAGTTTTAAGTGGCTTGATGGCCTTGGGTAAATGGTTTGATCATATTTGCAACTGGAAGAACCCCATTACAACAATATTAATTCACATCCTTTTCATCATTTTAGTTCTTTATCCCGAGCTCATTCTTCCAACCATCTTTCTCTACCTTTTCGTTATCGGTATTTGGAACTTCAGGCGTAGGCCTAGACACCCCCAACACATGGACACCAGGTTGTCTCATGCTGATGCAACTCATCCTGATGAACTAGATGAAGAATTTGACTCCTTTCCTACATCCCGATCTACCGATATCATTCGGATGAGATACGACCGCCTTCGGAGCATAGCCGGGAGGGTGCAAACTGTGGTCGGGGATCTTGCAACTCAAGGAGAAAGGTTTCAGTCGCTACTGAGTTGGAGAGATCCAAGAGCAAGTGCTATCTTTGTAACATTCTGCTTGATTGCCGCTATAATTTTGTATGTTACACCATTTCAAGTTATTTGCCTCGTTGCAGGCATTTATGTGCTGAGGCATCCAAGATTTCGCCACAAACTTCCTTCGGTTCCTTCAACCTTCTTTAGAAGATTGCCTGCAAGATCAGACAGCATGTTGTGAGCAGAAGTTTATTTGAATTAATGTTCATTGCCTGTTTATATGTATTCTCCATTACATTAACTAGTCTCTTGAAACTCCCTCTCCTTTGGTTTGTTCACTCAACTCCATCTCCTTCGATTTGTTCAGATTTGTTCACTTCAGAAGTCAATGTTTAATGGTATTCAACTCAGCTCCATCTACTTCGGTTTGTTCACTTCAGAAGTCAATGTTTAATGGTATTCAACTACATAAATCGAAAAGGAAATATTTATTGGTTCTACCTTCTATTTTTATGAGAAGGAATCTTTTTACAAAGGATTGGGTGGGTCCAGACCTTCTATGGAGTTGATTGTGAGATCCCACCTCAAAAGAGAACAAAACATTCTTATCTCACATCAAAAGAGAACAAAGCATTCTTTAAAAGGAGGTAGAAACCTCCTCTTAGCAAGACACATTTTAAAAATCTTGAATGGAATCAGAAGAGAACAAAGCATTCTTTAAAAGGATGTAGAAACCTCCTCTTAGCAAGACACATTTTAAAAATCTTGAATGGAATCAGAAGAGAACAAAGCATTCTTTACAAGAGTGTAGAAACCTCTTCTTAGCAAGACACATTTTAAAAACCTTGAAGGAAAGCTTGAAAGGGACTATATAAAGGTATAAAAACCTCCTCTTAGCTAGACACATTTTAAAAACCTTAAATGAAAGCTTGAAAGGAAAAACCTCAAATGAAAGCTTGAAAGGGAAAATGACAATATCCACTAGCGCTAAGATTTTTGAAACTTTTTCTACAAAGGTGCAAGGCTTAGTGACATCTCGTAATGAATAATTGGCACATGGCTTGCCATAATTTCAGATTTTTTCATGATATTTCATTAAAATCTTAAGATATCCATTTTGATTCGTGGCCGAATCAGTGGAAAAGTCAAGTGTTCAAATTATTCCTCAGAATAAGAAGAAATATTCTGAAACATAACGTACTATCACAATGCCTGCATCCAGATTTGGAAGTTTTGGAACTACCCTCTTGTGGCGGTTACAGTGGGCATAATCAGAAACAAAAATCCAAAATCGAGGCAGCTTAGCCAAGCCATTCTCCTAGAACCAATTCCAACAATAGGAAAGAAGAGTCATGAACTAGCTGAGGCAACAACACTCTAGGCTAAACTTCCTAAACTTGGCAAGGCCATCATCAATCAACCAATCTGCAAGCAAATTTAGTGCTTGTCTGTTGGAATATCTAGATCCTTGAACATCGGGCTATCAACTCCCACGCCCATTGCATTCAACCCATTATCTACATAAATAACAGCTCCAGTAATAGCAGAAGCCAGAGGTGATGCCAAGAAGGCAGCTGTATTCCCCACCTCCTCTGTTTCATTGTATTAAAAGGAGCATTTCAGTACGAATCAATAATGGTAAAGTGAGAAAAGGAGAATGCCCACAAGAATTGATGGAAATTTTACCAGCAGATAGTTCTTTCTGCAGAGGTGCATTGACCGATGAATAGTCAATCATCATGTCAATAAACCCGATTGCTTTTGCAGCTCGACTTCTTAGCGGACCTGAACACAAGCAGGAAATGGATATAAGAGTAGTGAATTCAAGAGTTTCCAAGTGGAAATTCACATATAGAAACTTTAGTAATATTGTGATTCCTAAAAGGAACAAGAAACACATAATTCAATGTAAATCTAGATAAAATGCCTTTTCAGTTTGGCAGATACTGTGTTGTGTTTTCAGAAAAATAAAATAGTGAAAAAAAAAGAAAAACAGAAGGGCAAAGTTTACCCGCAGATATTGTGTTGACTCTGATTTTGTGCTTTCTTCCAGCTTCAAAAGCAAGTACCTAAAAGAAGAATAACCAAATTCCAAAATACAACACTCTCATTATGGTAAGAAAGAATAGTTCCAGCCTCACAGAAAGAGAGAAATAGAGGGAAAATTTTTTACTCGTGTATCACTCTCCAAAGCAGCCTTGGCAGAACTCATGCCACCTCCATACCTGAATTAAGAATACGATTACAGTGATATACAAGTGAAATTTTGGTGATACAGACCACCCTTATAAGAGAAAAATGTAGTTTAATTGAGAAGAGTTGTAAGAGAAAGCAAAGGGGGCAAGCCAAGCATATTTTCCTTGAATATAAGGTTGCCAAGCAAACATGTTACATGCATACCCTGGAATGATTCTTTCAGAAGCTATGTACGTGAGGGATAATGAAGCACCACCTATAACAAAAACCAAAGTTCTCCTTATATATGCTTTCCTTGTCTCGCCTAACAAATAACTGGAAAAAGAAAAGGCTTGGGCTACTGTGTAAAAGGCAAAAAACGAAAGTCTTTACAATGGAAATATTTCAACATGCCTGGATTCATGATTGGAACGAAATGCTTCAGTAGAGATATATAAGAGTAGCTTGATGCAGATAAAGCTGCTAGATAACCATTCCGAGATGTTTCCAACAGAGGTTTCGTTACCTATTACAAAGAGCATCTTTGTTTTATGGAAAACAAGCAAGGTTCGAAAGGCTATTATTGAATGAAACTCCCTAGCTAAATACCTCCGGTCCATTAGCAAGGGAGTGCACAAGAATGTCAATGCTGCCAAAATCTTGCTTCACGCACTCAGCAACTTCCTGCAAGAAGTTTTACATTTTTTCAGAGCATTAAAATAGAAGCATGCAAATACATTAGGAAGGTCCAATGAGATAATGACTCAGACGTGAGCAAACTCCAGCACAATTCATTCAAGCAACGCTCTCATGCATATAAAACAACAAGAGATACTAGCTACTTGGCTTTTGGCTTTATCAGTTGTATAATCTTGTAGCAGGACTTCAAATTCATTCACGTGGAAAATCCACCATATCACTAAGAAAATATTTTCCATATATAGAGGTATTCAAAGGGAATGCTATGTGTGTACCTTCACAGTCCAATTTGAGGATCCTGCATAGCGTTTGTTTGTTTTTATCTGCATGGATTGGAGAAACAAGCATGCTCAACACAGAGAATATCAGAGAATTAAAGATTTACCATACCAATAGAGATTGAAAAATTACATCTTCGGGAACATCCTCAGGGCTGTCAAAAACTGCATCTAGAGGATATACTTTTGTGATCTCCATAAGTGAACCATCGGGCAGTCTGAAATATTGAACTGTTTATAGGGAAATAACAATTTACTTCGGTAAAAATAAGGATAAAAATAAGAATGATATCTTACACTCGTGATTCATCGAACTTTCCACGTCTGAAGCTGGATTCAAAAATGTTCAAGGCCTGAAGAAGAAAAGTTTCTAATGCTAAACATTGGCCCAAGAGATAACCAAAAAGATTTGTGCAAAAAAGACATTAACTACTTGAGCAAGCTATTTCACTTACAGGCACCCACGTGCCAACAAGAATTTCAGCACCAGCTGCGGCAAGAGCTTTTGCAATCGCCCACCCATATCCATTATCATCAGCTACACCAGCGATAAATGCTCTCTTACCTACGCATCAGAAAACTAGGTTCGTTGAAAAATTTTCATGTAATTGTTAATTTTCAAGTATTTCATGTCTGGACCAAAAAAAAAGAAAAAAAAAAAATCCCAGAAGCACAACAGGAAATTAGAAGTCGTGAAAATAAAGTAATAGCAAATGGACAATCCCTCTTGTACATTAGACGTGACAGCTCTTATGATCATAATGCGATTAATAGTTGTTACTCTTAAGATTAAAAAAAATCAAGCTTTCCTTGAGAGATATGAAAGAATGTACAAGGAATATAAGAAAATCAGTCCCATAGAAAGGGATTACAATTCATAGAACCTGGTTATTGCAGTTGAGAGGGGTGGTGAAAGAAGCCTCGGTAATATACTATGGATCACAATTATTAATGGAAAGCGAACCAAGAAGATAGAAATGGATAAAGAAACTAAAAGAAAAAAAAATAATGAAAAATAGATTGCGAGAACTCTAACCTTTTAGATCAATTGACAGCCCAGAGATAGGCTTACTATCATTAGCTTCAGCCGTTGCTTTGGTTACAGTTCTCTCATTTTTCACTGAAGACGAGACGAACCTCCGCTGGAAAAATGGTAAAGATGATATATTGCTAGAACTTGAAAGCTTAGCAAATGATGGTGCTTTAGAATTGCCAATAAGGGTAGTTCCAAATGGCTTGAAGCCTTTCCTTGAGGGCAATTGGCAGTGTTTTAGTGTCGCAATCTGAATGTTAGAAGCTGCAGCTGCCATCTTCAGGAACTGTCTCACAGAAGAGAATCGAGATCTGCCCAATTTTAAGCCATGAGAACAACAAGGAGCTCAAGCTTCAATGTTAAATAAAAGACTTTTTCACTTACAGGAAGTTGATTGGAGGCGGGAAAAAAAATATTGTTCTAACTTGGATATTTTTTAATGTCTCAACAGACAACTTAAAATAGAACTCAAGATTCTGTGTTTTCTAGCTATGTTTAGTTGTTTAAAAATTAGGATAATTTTTAGAAGCAATCCACTAATATAACAAATATTCACGATCCTAAGTGCCAAATTGCGACAGGAAATGCCAAGCTAGTTCATTTCCTCTTAAATATTAATGACCCTGATAAATTAGAAAAGGACCAAACCAAACCTGTAAATCTCGATACAGAAAAACTCATCTCCACGCAAAAAGACACAATTTTCTAATTACATTGGTTTTTCTTATCCCCAACTACTTACTTTCCACAACATTATCCAGGAAGAAAAATAATAGCATCGCTATGGAAGATGAACAAGCTTTCAGTGGCATAACAAAATTTCATTGGTCAGTTAACAAATCGCTTAAACCAATTTTTCATAGTAAGCTAAAACAGACAAGAGACACGCTCCATGAATCCAAGAAATATATCAAAATTTATCGACATAACATTACTCGCATTGGGAAACAGAAATTAAAGAGAGTAACAAAATCGCAATTATCAAAACCCATAGATCTACCAGTTTAGCTTGGACCAGAAAATAAAACGAGATATAATCAACAAATGGTGGAAACAAGCTTCAGTGTCTCGAACCACTGAAATGGCATTGAGAAGCTGCCGATTACACTTAAAGATGAGAAGAATTGCTTACATTTTTGCGACAGAAAACGCCAATGCGGAGAGAAGGGGATTTGGAACAGTTAAAGAGAAGGGCCAGGGTTTTCCCGAAGAGAAATCAAACAGAAATAAATGGGTTGGAAACAAGAACGGTGGAGTTTGCAGATTATAGGAGTTTCGATGATAACAAAGATGGAAAGGGCTTCGAAAATGTCG